TCGCTGACCTTTGGTGTGATGGAAACACGTAATGACAGTCACTTGCTCCCTATCTAGGGCACAAATGTATTCACACCTGGGGTCAACAGAGCAACAACAGCATGGATAAAGGTGCCGTTGGTTTTGGCACCTTGAGTGACCCCACTGATTGAAATGATGTTGGCTGAAACTTACCACAGATCTTCATGCCCAGTTTCCTCGTGCATCCGTGTGCAACCCCGTACCACGCGTCGCCGGCTAAAACGAGACGTTTGGAGAGCTGTTCAACATCTCATATTTCATTTTATTTTTTTATGCTATGGGTGAGGATGTGTGCGCCTAATAAAGCAGGGTCAACATGCATTGACGCAGAAGGCAATGAATGAGCGCAACAGATTTGGGTCTTTGCCGGCTCTGTGGCTTTTTTCTTCTTCTTCTGTGTCTATTTCAGGTTTTTTGAAAGGAAGCAATATAGGCTATCAGAGAGGCAGGCAGCTAATAGATGGTGGCACACATCCGGCAAAGAGGCGGTTTAAAATAAGCGGGCATGAAATGAGGTCTCGGAATTAACTGAGTGAAACGCTTGTGTTTGACTTGCCAGCCGCCATACAGTGAGACTAGAGAAAATGTACCATGGATGACCCCCAGCATTAGTGACCAGACAGATGCCAATGAAACAAAAATGCACACACACTCACAACATTTTGAATAGCATGAACAACAATATTCATAACGTTTTGAGCTTGCATTTTTATATAAACAATATAGTGTGTTTGCATGAAATGTGCATAGAAAAGGAAACGAAGCAGATTTGTTATTAGGCCTATTATCAATAGTTTGATATGAATTGATCTCATCCTCCGGGGTGGGTTGTGTCTGGAGGCTGATCTAGCTCTATCTGCCCCGGGCGCGCGCTGTCAGCACGAGGCAGAGACAGCACGCGTCCCTCAGGTCAGTGAGCGTGAGATAGAGCTTGGCAGGGAGATAATAGCAAAACACGCAGACAATACACACACACACACACACGCACGCACGCACAATAAAACAACACAACATATCATTCTCTTGACAACATGAATTAATAACAAAATGTATATAACATAAACTATATAACATATGTACTACGTCGTTATATTATTGGATCGTTTATTTCTGTGAATGACGTTTTAAAAGATTTTATTTATTTTTTACATATATACACAAAGGCACACTAAGGTTTATTAAACCCGATCAAATCAGATCAAACCCGTTTATTTCATGCATTCTTTCCCTGACTCGGGCATTTTAAGTATCCTACATTTACAAAGGAAACTGTGAATTGGACCGTGATGGCGGGTAATTTTTGTAATTACGCTATTAAGGTGGGACTGTTGAGAGCAGACGATGGCTGATTGCTGTTATTTAAGCTGCCATAAAAACGTAGCAAAAAACAGGACTATTGTTATAAGATCGGTACCATAATTAACTGCAACACGTAATTAGGCAGAAGTAGGATGCTTTTATTTTAGAGTAAAATTAAGAATATAATTTTATTTGTAATCTCCATATATGAATTCCTACTAAAATCATACCCAAAACGAACAAGAGATAAAATAATCGTACATAAGATTATTATTATTAGTAGTAGTAGTAGTAGGCTATTATACACATCTGCACACATCGTCTGTTTATTGATCTCTCTCTGTTCCTCCACTTTGATCCTGAAATTTAAGAATTTACATTTTTATGACAAAAGCCTTAGGAGTTTCCGTTTTAACATCTATCTATCTATCTATCTATCTATCTATCTTCAGATAATTTATCATTTGTCTCTCTAGCTGTCTCTGTCAGCTAATAGACATTTCACAGGGTGCTGTGTGTTTTTTAAGGCAGTGATGAACATCGCCACCCCACGGAGTAAACAAGCCAAGTGAAAAACGCGTTATCCAGAGAGACCTACTTGTGGCAGGTTGTCGTAAATTAGCCGTGTTTGGGTCCATATCAGGAGCCGAGGAAGAAGGTGCAGAAGACGCCATCAGTCCAGGAGAAACACCTCACAGCTTTCAGACTGAAGAAGAAAAAAAAAAACACTAAACGGAAAATATGGAGAATTAGGACAAAGTGATTGCACAAATAATACTAAATAATACCGTCCTGTGTCTCATATACTGCTTATAAAAACAAAAACAAGCGTTTTTGTTTTCAAGGAATCTCCAGCATAATTTCACGCATCTGTGATATCCTTCTGAAATGGCAGTAATTCACTCCCCGTCACAAGGATAATTTGTCTTGTGTTCTGTCACGTTCAGAAATGCGCTCTGATAGAGCAGCGCACCTAAAAGCGCATCCAAAGCGCGAGAAATAAGCAACACACTTAAGAAATAACGAAAAGAATTGTAGGTAAGTTCCGAAAATAACCCGACCTATATAACTTGGTATTTTGGATGGCGGTCCGGTTCTTGCTCTCCAGACGCACCTCTGAGCTCCAGCGCGCAGCAGACCGTGAAGTCTGACTTAATTGGCTCTGTAACGAGGTCTTTAAAACGAATCATTTAAAACGCAGAAATGAAGAATCTGCTCACTTCAACCGCAGCATAACAAAGGCGACGAAGTCAGGACAGAGAGGATCATTTTGAAGGCATTATTAGCGATGATGACGATGATAAATATGCTTCTTTGTGTCAGATGATTTTACAGAAGGTCAGAAGCTCAGTTCGTTTAACCGATGCTCACTCCCCCAAAAGAGAGAGAGAGAAAATGAATAGAAAAAGAGTGACTTATTGATTTCTCAATTAAGATGATCTTTAAATGTCTTCAAATAACGCGCATCAATCACTGTCGGAGTTAGTGAAATATGGCCCAAAAAAATCATTGCGCTGCTCATGTGTTAAATTACACCATGTTTTTAGATCATCATTTTGTCAGACACGTTCCTATAAGATCACAATATTGGCAGAAACTGGCTTATATCTGCACATGCATTTATTATCATCGAGTATAAAAAGCATAATTAAGTTTCTGCTCCTCTTTCAAATATTCTTATCCTCCTCCTAACATTGCAGACAAGAAAAAGGGCTTGCATTTAGATCAAAACGCAGAAGGTGAGCGCTTACCTTACGAAGTCACAGGTGTCACAATAAAATCCAGAAAAACGGAGGCACACGGAGGATGTTTCACACCGCGTGATGTGGCTGTGAGACGCTTGATCTCAGAAAACCAGAAGAGTGAACAAGAAAATAAAAACCCATCCAGCGCCAATTCTTGATTCAGTGTTTATCCTTCAAAAGGCGACAGGAGAATCTCCAAAAATTCACTTCTGCTGTATTTTTCCACCGGTTAATATCCACGGGTTTGTCTCGAGATTATTAAATGGACTCAAGCCATCTGACACATGAAGTTTAATTCTCCGAGTAAAATATATATATACACACACACACGTCAAAATACCGTGGGAGTGAGAAACCGGTGAGTGAGAGAAAGAGAGAGAGGGGCAGAGAGTCAGACAGTGAGACATCACGAGGACGAGAAACATCAGGTGCTTCTTGTTATTTTGGAGGGAAACCATAAACAATTTTTATTCTGTGTTAATTTAACAACATTTTTAGAATCTGTTTTTTTTCTTTAATTGCATGACTTGTGGATCAGCCCCGGTATAACCTAGATGAGACGTCTGGAACTATAACAACACCGACATCCACGAGGTGGCAACAGAGAACAGACCAACTTGAACTTGAATGAAGGATTTTTGGGCAGCGCCCTGGAAAATCACTTGAACTGCTGTGTACATGCTTGTAAGATCGTTTATTTTAGAACCTCTGCTGATTACGCTTGTCAATACTGACGACAACTTTTCATTGGTTGTTGTTAATTATAAGTGCGCAGTATCATTACTGCCTTTTCAGCACTTGGACAGCTCCGCTCAGCCAATACCTGCATTCAGAAGAGACCGGGGCTAGTTGTCACGCATTTTGCAGTCAGTCAGTATTTCTCTGGGTGGGTTTTTCCATATTCAAACCCTGTAGGCGCAAGTTTTGACAACAAAAAAGTAGTGAACGCAAACATCGTTATTTCCTCTTAACTCATTGTGATTTTGTGTTCACCGTGCAACAGCTATTTAAAAAATATTACTTCTTGAAACTTACTATAGAGAATAAAATTCACGACAACTGTAGTTTAAATTAATAATAAAAAAAACAAAAACATTTGGATAATTGGACTACTCAAAATATTATAGCTACTATATATTATAGAAATGACCTAATTAAACAAAATTATGTTCTAAGAACATTTTCTAATGTTCCAACTGAGTTAAGAAAAAGTTATTTCTGAATGTTGTCTTAACGTTCAAAACGTCCAGTTTTTAAATGTTTTAACTTATGTGAACGTTAAAGGAACATTCCATTTGATCATTCCGTAAACATTATGGGAATGTTCTCTGAAAATTCTAAAACAAGTAGTAACATTTATGAATGTTAGATAAATGTTAGATGAACGTCCAACTAAAACGTTTCCAAAAAAAAAAAAAAAACCTTCCATGAACGATGTATAAATAATGTTTTTGTGCTAACATTTTGAGAACATTATTAAAGACCAGATAACTTTGAACAAACATTCTATATACGTTATTTGGAAAAAAACGTTTGTTAATAATGTTGAGAGAACCATTCCAGAAAATTAGCCAAAAGGAACGTTCCTTGTTAGATGGGGAGCTTTTTGACAAATTTCCAGTGTGACAACTAACCCCGGTTCAAATTGTGAAACTGTTTTTTTCCCCTCCATTGGATGGCGCTCACTTGCACCTTTCTGAACAACTAAACCGAAAAAGTCAAGTAGGAAATAGCTACTTTATTATCTTAAGACATATAGATTACAATTCACGCAGAATATAATTTAAAGTCCAGTCAGTATTAGACATAACTGAGCATGCATGAGATGCTAAACATGACACACATTGTTTATGAGCATTAGATGTATTAATACTAAAACAATACTGTACGTGATTAGGACCACTAGATCTACTAGACTGTTTGTATGTTTGTTGTTTACGATGAAGATGATAATGTATCATCTGTGCTGTCAGAGGACTCATCATCATCATCTTCAACGTCATCATCCTCATCATCATCATCATCATCATCTGATTCCTCATCTGCTTCAAGAATTAATAATCATATCCAGATAAAGATGGTGAATTCAACACACTTACATTTCAAGTCTTTGCTCGCACATTATTAAAGTTACCCATTTGGAACATTGCTTCTAATTAATTAATGGTATTTAATTTTCATTAATGTCTGCAGTGCTTATGAAAACATTTTTGGTTAAAGAAATGTAGAAATACATATCACTATGTTGATTTAAAGACTAAAGAGGAAAATCATAGAAAAGCTTATGTTTTTGTCATAAGAATGTAAATTCTACAATTTAACAATTTAAGGGTCAAAGCAAAGTGAAACTACCATGTCAAAAAAGAAACTGATAGATAGATAGATAGATAGATAGATAGATAGATAGAACAATAATAGAATATAATCTCACCTATCAGTAATTTTTCTTCTATGAGAGGCAGGAAGCTCTTGGCCTCTGAGTTCTGGGGCTCATAAATTAAAATTGAATTTAAAGAATGATGAAAACATCAGTATCATTTATATGAGCAATGCCAATTGTAAACAATACTAATTCACATGGCTACTTACTCATCTGACAGAGTTTCTTCGCAAGTTGGTAATTCCTTGACATCACAGCCTGTAGAAACTGGATTCATAGAAACAAAAACAGAACATTTGTTTAGTCAGTAGTCATTTTCAAACACATCAGGTACATGACGTGTCCTATATGCCTCACCTCTGCAAACAATTCTAGCGGCACGTGTCCTTCAGCGCTCTCATTTCCATCCTCTTCACTCTGTGCCTCGTGAGGATCCTGGTCATTTGCAGAGAGCACTACTTGAGGGGCCTGGATATGTAGCTCATGCACACTTTCTGACTGGGCATCACATTCTCCTTGTTTTTCTAATGCTTAAATTGAAAAAGAAAATCCATTTTTGGACACCATGGGTATCACAAAATGCTTCAGATATTCCGAGACAAATAGATTGAACAATAAATGTGCTAACAAGCGCTAAAGGATAAAACAGATTCAGTACCTGTCATAATAGGGGGAACCTGTTTAGGTAGTTTATGTCCATGCGTGGTTACATTTCTGAAGGACGGAGCTTTAGAGGCATTATACCCTCTGCTGCTGAAAAAATGGGTGATAAAAGGTAAACTATTAGAGATCACTGGAGCGAATGAATGCCATCAGCTTCCCTGCTTTATGCATGTACGGCCCATAAACCACATCCCATGCATGACCCAAAGAGCATGCTGACCAGAATACAAAAAGCAACTGATATACTCAAATTAAAAATAAGCTTGTTTCTTTATTCCTTTCAGTATTGTGCATCTATCCTAATTCTCTAGTATAGAAAACTTGTTGCTTTTAGTTATTATTTTGTGACATGAAATGCTTTTGTTTTTACCTATTGGAAGTGTATACTTTGAGTGTGGTATCTGATGTTTCAGAGTTCAGGGAAGGATACAAAACAAAACCAAAACCAAAGCATCTAAATGATGGTTGAAGTGGATCAGTACAATAAAAATGTTGTATATAAGCATTCTTATTTCAAGTAAATATGTTTAAAGAAATAGTTTCCTTACCCTCAGCCCATTCAATATTTGGAGAAATATAGCATTCCATCACTTGCTCAGCAACAGATGCTCTGCAGTGAATGGGTGCCGTCAGAATGAGAGTCCAAACAGCTGATAAAAACATCACAATAATCCACAAGTAATCCACACCACTCCAGAACATCAGTTAGCGTCTTCTGAAGTGAAAAGATGCTTGTTTGTAAAAACAAATTCATAATTAAGACGGTTTTAAATCATCACTTCTGGCCAAATTATTAGTCCATAATCCACAATAATGTTTCCTCCAGTGAAAAAGTGCATCCCCTGTTGTCCTCTCACATCAAAATCTACAGTCATTTTATTTTAAACTGTTTTGGACTGTCTTTGCTCATAAATCTATGCATATTTCTCTCCTGATTCAGATGAAATGTATTTTAGATGGAAACAATGGTTTGAAGTTAAAAACATCTTGATGGATTTTTTTCTTTCAAACATGCAGCTTTTGGCTTCATAAGATATTAACTGATGGACTGGAGTGGTGTGGATTACTTGTGGATTATTGTGATGTTTTTATCAGCTGTTTAGACTCTCATTCTGACGGCACCCATTCACTGCAGAGCATCCATTGCTGAGCAAGTGATGCAATGCTATATTTCATCTAAATCTAGGGTGGCCTGAGGTCAGTACATTTTCAGCAAATTTTCATTTTCATTCAACTAATTGTAAATATCCCAGTTCTTTTACATTGACCTGTTGACTGAGAGCTGCATGCAATTTTTGTTCATTAACCACTGTTATAAAGTGTCTCTACTGCTTTTACCTTGTGGAACTTGGAGCTTTGAGTTTCATATTTGCTGTCTCAGAGTTTACACAGGGTCCCTGTCCTTCTGTCTTTCCACTAAGTTTTGGTTTGTGTTGCCTACACAAAATCAAACAAAGCACCTAATACATTTGACATGGACATGTTTTTTTTTAATCAAGTAAATCTTATTGTATGTGTCAAAAAGCATATTGAATTCAAAAGACCTGATTTTTCTGCAATAATCTTCATTGTTCAGAGGTCAGCATTCAAACAATATATAATCGTAGTGACCTAGAAACACATTTTTAAACCTACTTTGGTTTCCATTCCACTGATTCTTTTGTCACTGGATCTACAGAACAAAGCAGTTGATTTCATTAACCCTTTCAGAAGAAAATAAGCCTTTAAGGAAACCAAGACAGACCGTTGTCATGTGCATGTAACTGCTAAATGTTACAAAACAGTTGCTATAGACATTATGTGTATATGAATAGATAGATATTAATTCATGCTGACTAACACCTAAATTATTTTACCTGCTGAGCTGCCAATCACTGGTTTTAAGGGTGCAACCTCCTTTAGCAGAAATAGAAAAAGGACAAAATGTGAACAAGACTTAAGTCAAATCAATGCTTTAAAATAATACATACACTACTAAAATAGCACAATGATCAACATCAGATACAAATGTTTCAATTCTGAAAGAAAACCTGATATCAGTATCGAACTGGAACATGAATGATCTCCAAATGTAGATTGTGCTGCCACTGACCTCTTCACTGACTTTGGATGAGACTTCTGAGGGCCTTCCAACACACTGTAAACTTATAATCAATAATAAACAGGTCTTTATGAGTTAAAGAAATGGTAAAGCCATTATATAAAGTTAAATAAAGTGTACTTATACTAATACAAATCATAAAATTTTTTAAAATACAATTGTGTGTTCATGCTGAGTTCATGTAAAAATATGCCAGGGCCCAGTTTTAAATGTGGGCCCTGATGTTATTTTAACATATAGCTAACAGTCCCAGTTAGATCAGTCTCGATGTACAGTACTGACTGTAACTCAAGAATCTGTTGAATTTTTTAAGCGTTGATCACTATCAGTCACATTCTACTGCGATATTTACAGCGAACTAAAGTAGAAAAACAGGTATAAACTGTGAAAAATAACGTAGACATGGAAGTCATGTAACTTAAAACATATTGGCTAATAACTTAACATGAGAAGTGCCAAATATGAGCGCTCTTACCTGTTCATCTGTGCGAAGTGTCTAACTTTATATTTATAAAGATCTATCGACTGTATTTGAGAGATGAAGGGGTCATTTTTTTTACTAATGTCTGTCATAAAATTTCAAACCTACAGTAACACTTTTCTGAAGTTTCTTTCGACTTTCTAAGCCTCGTCGCAGTTTGAGAGCACTGGAAGGTAGCGGCGGAAAAAGCGTCCTGTTTCCATAGCAACCGGAGGCGTCACCTCTAAATAATCCGAGCGCAACATGCTCCTTGGGAACGAACGTCTTACGTAACACTTGATACATAGGCTACCCAAACAAAATACAAACACAGTATATTTGTATTACACAATATGTTACAGCATAAAATTACTGTATTAATAATAATAATAACCATAACAACAACAACAGTAATAATAATAATAGTAGGATATACAGTAAACACAATACTCTTCTAAATAATAAACAGTGCACAATATAGGCTACTCTTCTTTGGTCCATGAGTATTTTAACTTTCAAGTTATCAAAAAACGACTAAAATTGTGCATTTGTTTTTGGTGTGGTTAAAAAAAGCACAGTATAAAATAGTAGGCTATACACTTGATATAGCCTAGCAGCCAAATGTCTTTTTGAAAACGAAGGTAAATGACAATTAACGTTTTTGCTTAAGTTAACCTCTTAAGTGTTTCCATGTTGCATAGGGTAAACTTTATTACTTCAAAATTTCCTAAGGTCAAAAAATTTCTATATAGACACCTTAAAGTCCTGACGATAAAACGCTTTGAATTTTCTCAAGAAAGAAAGAAAAAGAAAGAAAGAAAGAAAGACTTGGCCTAACCCACATCTTTTGAGCTTGTTGTCGCTATATGGCTTAAGATCATCAAACAGCTTGTTTTTCTGTTATATTTTAAACCAATTATGAAAACAATTGATGAAACAGCAAACACACAAAAATGTGAAACTATTGTTTTGTCCAACAAATATTGTAATTAATAAAATGTACATGTATAACATTTACAAACAAATGTGACAACTTGCCCCAAATTAAAGATTAACTTGAATTAAAAACACCCCCCCCACATTTTATATTTACTGAGATGGCCCGCAAAAAGTGCTCACAAAATACGATCTAAGACTACTGTTCAAGAGTTTTGTTGACGTGATCCAGCACGGGGAACAGCGGTCTGTTCTTGCGCATCAGGTGCGTCTTCAGGTGTTTGGCCAGATGGTCGCTGCGCGTGAAGCGTTTGGCGCAGTCCGGACAGGTGAAGCGCTTCTCGCCGGTGTGCGTGCGCAGGTGCCTCTGGAGCTCGTCCGAGCGCGTGAAGCTCTTCCCGCAGAACATCCAGCTGCAGACGAACGGCCGCTCACCTGCGTGCCACCTCAGGTGCGCCTTCAGGTGCGACGTCTTGCCGTACACCTTCCCGCAGCCCGGCATGTGGCACATGTGCTGCTTTCTCTTCCCCGGCGCGTCGCTGCTCTTTTGGCAGTTGGGGCACATGCACCTCCGGCATCTGCGAGACTTGGAGTGCAACAGGGTGGCGATTTGAGTCTGGTACTGGCCGAGCTCAGGGTGACCCAGAACCCACCCGCGGGGGATCTCAAATTGATGTGTTGAGGAGTGATTGGCAGTCCACCATTGGTCCAAAAGTCCATTGTGCGTGGGCACGTAAGACGTGGGAAGAGTAGCGCATGCTGACGCACAAGGCAACATTTTCAGGGGCGAGAAGTCATAGTGTTCGGCCGGGGGTGTCAGTGGCATTTCGTGGTGTGGACTTAAGGGGGTCTGGAGGTGCTGTGAGAAAGTTGCATCACTTCTCCAGGGATGGACGAGCTTTGGTGGGGAGCCTTCATATGAGATGTGCTGGTGGGGCTCCATGGACCTGGGTGCACGGGAATGGCAGATGCGATTACAGGTGTCTTCCAGCAACATCAAGGGGGATCCTTTGATGGATTCTGGGGTGCAGTTTGGCGTCCGATCCTACGAAATAAAATATCAATACTTAAAACGTACGTTTGATTGATTAGTACTCTAATTCAGTTCTTTATTCTAGCACTTAGCCTATGTAAGGCAATTATTAAGAGTGAGAACCACTTCTCTGAATCCCACTGGCGCTATGTTTTGTGCAAACGAATGCTCAAAGTTAATGCTTAAAATAATTAACTCCCCTTAAATCAACATGCATGCTTTAAATCCATCAAAACGATAAGTTTAACACAGTTCCCCTCAGAGAATACTCTTTACGCACCTGAAGGAAAGCTTGCAGTGGGTCATTGCGCATTATGGCTCTCGCAGTTACGCCACGCCAATGAAGCCTTGTCGAGCCAGAATCCTTATAGTTCCCAAAACTGCGCACCTCAAACAACTCACGGGAGAATCCTGGAGCAAAGTGAACACACTGGCATCATTTCATAGAGTTTGATCAGAACTCCAGCCAGTCAGAATGAAGAGTTTTCCCTTTGAAGTTTACCGCTGCCCAATCATCAAAGAATAACGGAAGAGCTCAAATCCTTTGAGTGTTTGCTGCTTTGGATAATAAAAGAATTGATTATTTGGAGGGTGAGATGGGTTAGAGATGAAGGAGGTGCAATTAATGAATTAATTAATCTGGATTAGTTGAATGGATCAAAGAAATAATAAAAATGTAGAGTATATGTCACTGAAGAGATTTTTTTGGGGGGGAGCTAATGCATGTTAGTCGGGTAATGTGGCAAAATATGAAAAGTTGCAACTTTAAACTAAATAAAGGGGTACCTACACAGGTTCAGGTTTTCCTTGTCAAACATATAAAATAGAAATAAATAAATAAACACACATACATGTAAGGATCTATACAAGGAATGCTTACCAATGAAAGTTTTTTTCTTTAGTTCCATTTTAGAAAAAGAAAGCAAAATAATGTGTGCAAGTTTATAAAACTGTGTGTAGACGCCCCTCATAGCAGAATATATATAACTTGCTTATTGCCATTTCTGTTTTATTGCCATTTTTCAGTTTAAAAGTTAATTTTTGTAATAACAGGTATTTAAAAAATCAGTACAATATAAGTTTAACAAAAAAGCAAACAAACAAACAAACAAAACTACAATATAATTTAAAAGGAATGCACAGGAACATCAGCTTATACTCTCTGAAATATATCATAGCAACAAGTTTTTCAGGAACATACAATTTGAATGTCCCATGCGCATGCGCATCAAAATCGAAACTGAATTGCTCTTTTGGATCAAATTTAGTATATTTCATTTGGAATAAACAAACAAACAAATAATGGAGGCATTTTTTTCATTTAATTTGAATAGGTTTATCACAGATAAACATTCCAAATGAATAAGATTGCATAAGTTAGGATTAAAAAAGAAACCTTTATTATTTTAATAATATATTTGACAGCAAAAATTCTAAACAGGATTAATGAAGAGCTAGAGTGTTTTGTTTCTGTATTTTTGAAAAATTATACACATTAGAAATCTGTACAAATATAATGATAAATCACATTGCACGCAAAACTTGAAAACTTTAATATATTTGAATACATTTTTATAATTTCTTTCACCAACTATTTTTGAGAAACTTTAAATAAAATATTTTACAGTTTAATAATATTACAACAATTTAAAAAGAACAGCATGGAAACTCGCTGGTCCATTCACGATGATGCAGTGAGAGTGAAGGACGCGGTTAAGAGGCAGCGTGTGGGAGGCTGGGCTATTGAATACCTCTCAAAGTGCTTACAAGGGTGTCTAGAACTAGAGCAACATCTGTGGCTTTCTACAACAAAGCAGAACTCTGTTCCTTCACGGCACGCAGCTTTGAAGTCTCATGAAGACAGAAAGCAGCCATTGTTCTCTCAGGCCTATATGAAGGCCCTCCAACTTGGGTCTCTTTAATTTAAAAGTTTCCCTCAGTAATGCGATAGTTCTCTCCTGTTGCCCTTAGTGAACCTTTGAGGTGAAGCCTGGTTTTGTGTTTAAAAGCCAGAGTTCTGGCGAGTACTTTAGCCCTGGGTCATGAACTGTGGGCCGTTTGAACCGGTTTACGTGTGTGTGGTATACGGTCCTGCTTAAGAGTGCATAAGCTGATGAATGCATTCAATTACTCAGGAGTTACTGTTAATAAATGGGTATTTTAAAAAGATACTGCTCCAGTTACACTTTGTGTAAACCCAGTTAACCTCAAATCTTTTGAAGACTAAATGATTTGAGCCATGCACCCCATGTTATTTTTATAGCTGTATATTTTTAACGTATCACAACATTTGGGTCAATTTCATCTAAGGAACTTTAAACGAAACCTCTGAGACCTTATACAAGATGCTTCAATAAGAGCTCCACCGAGACTCCTGAAAGAGCGACCAAAACGTGCAATACAAAATATCCTCTGGGAAATTATACTGTAGTTTGAAAAGAGACTTCTTAGACTTACTTTTTCAAACTCTTGTTTACATTTGATCTATTATTTGGCAGATACTTCTATTCAAAGTCACTCACTACTTTATTGTAATAGTGCAGAAATGTTCACATATTTTTGTTGAAGTGTAATATATGCATAATGCATAAATAAATGCATAAATACATAATTTATTAGGGCTGCTTGTCAATAGATTAAAATAACTCATTGGAATTAATCGGTACAGACAGAAAAAAAAATGAGTAAAGTGTGACTAAGGTGCTCAATTTGGTGAAAATTTCACTTAGGAATTGCTAGTTAATTTCAGAAATAATTACAAACAGACGATATTACAAGTAAATTACAAGTAACACATTGAATTAAACATGATTTTTGAGTAGAAAGACTGAAATAGTATTTTCTTGTAAAATGTACAACAGTAATATTTATTTATAACTTTGAAAAATCATTTTTAGTGTAATAGTGCAGAAGTGTTCAGATTTTTTCATTGAAGTGTCTAGAATCAGAATAAACTTAATGTAAACATGCATGCATAAATCAATAAAAATAAATAAATAAATATTTTAGGACTGCTTGTCATTATTAAAATAACTGTAATCAATCATGTTTTTTTGTTCTTTTATAGAGCAAGAAAAAAAACAAACAAACAAAAAAAAAACATATTTTTGTTGACATCTGAGCCTCTAAAATCAGAATGAACTTTAACCTAATCAAGAAAGCTAAGCTAAATTTAAACTCAAATATTAAACTGCTGCATTTTTAGTCAGTCTGAATATGCACACGGTGGTAAAAAAAAATCTCTTCTGGTTTTTATGTGCATGATAAACACAGTAAAAGAAATTTTCATATGTAACTGTAAGCCAGAGGTAAGCTTCGGGTTATTGTTCCACAACATGTCTTCTCAGCAAAAAGCAGCTCTTTATTGCAAATGTTGGAATTCACTACGCATGACAATTAAAAAAGCATGTTATCGGGTCAGAAGAGCCTGGGGAGGAAGATGCCTGTTAATAGAATCAGAACGCTTTCAACATGCACTCCAGGGTGTGAGAGTGACCCAGTTTACATCAGACCTTTCCTTTGAGGGACCCCGAACAAGAAAGAGGGAACGAGAGAGAGAGAGAGAGGAATGATAACATTGAGTCTAGTCTGTAATTATTCCTGTGGTAATGGTTATTAGAGCAGATCGCACATGGACCAATCAGAACAGTTCTGGGCCAATTAGCTTCATCTGTATGAGCGGCATTTATAATATTTGCAGTATTGCCTCTGAGTGCTTTACATTTACCAACATCATGACATTTTTGTGGATTGTTAATATTTACACGTATATTCTAGCTCCTGCGACTCATCAGCTTTTTAGCATTCAAGTATTTTTCTTTGACTAGTTCATTTTTAAATGGTCCTGCTGTGTGGAAAAAGTAAAGAGCAACAGTCTAAACTTACTTCTAAAACTGCATTAAACGAGTGCCACAACGCTGGCTTGAAGAACTACAATAAATCCAGTTTAATGATGAAACAATGGATTTTCTCTCCAAAAATCAGCATAAAGAGACTGCAATTAGAGACGGAAATTAGAGTTCAGTAATTGACAGGAGACGGAGCTGCTCGGCTAATGATGTCTGAACCTGATTTGATGAGCACATTTCCATTTCCCCAGAAAGCACATCAAAGTCACAATCAATGATAATTACAGTACCAGCCAAGGCCTTGAACAAAGTTGCAATGCTGCGTTTCTGAATGCCTTCGCTGAGATGATATTCTGATGCAAATACCTGCAGCTGAAAAGATGGTGGAAGAACTGATATCTGCATGCAGGAAAATCTAAAGACCTTTCTTAATTTTCTGGGATTTTAGGGGAAAATCTGGGAGATGTTGTATTATTAATTAAAACACTAAAAGATGTTAAAAAGCATTGAGCGCATTACGTTTTTAGTAGTAATTGAAACCAATCAAACAAGCTAAAATAATAAATAATTGACCATCAAAGGGGCAGGGAATGTTTTGTGAGTGGCAGCATTCAAAACGGGATCAATGAGGGACTGGACTGTTGTTTTTGGTATTTTTGAGACATATTCTCTTAATATTAGAATATTTTCTGATATACTTTTTGAGGATTTTTGATGATTTCATTTATTTGAAATTTGAGTTTTTTTTTGTTGGTAAAAATGTAAAAGTCTACAGTACTTTTGATCAATTGAATGCATTCTTGCTGAATAAAATTGTAATTTCTTAAAGGGGTCATATGATGCTGCTAAAAAGAACATTAAAACCCCAAACTTTTAAATTCAATCAGTCTAATATACATTGCACACTTGAAAGCTTTTGCGAAAATTGCAACCTTCAGTCAGGTTTATCAGGGTTCACACGTTATCTATCAATTTGATTATTTTCACTGATATCAGATCTTCTCACTCCATAAACTGCATGTAAAAACAAAACAAACTGTGGTTGAGTACTTTACACATTGGTCATGCAAACTTTAAGAGTCTTCCTATGAGAGACCAGTAAAGAGTCATTTAGCAGACACTTATCCAAAGCAACTGACAGTTACAGAAATTAATATAAATTATTTTTATATATCTTTGAAATGAAATCAGTCCATTCGTGCACAGTGGGACTAAACTGTCACTTTTTAACTTTTAAGGCATCTTGGATAAAATTTTGTCAGCTGGTTTAAACATATTTGCTTGAAGATTTACTTCAGCTGCTGCATTCAGACGCTGATAAAACTTGTGGAACAGCATCTGCACTTCCTGTCAAAGAGAGACGCTTATGGCTACAGAACCGAGGAAAACCACAGAGAATATCCCTCCTATCTCACACACAGGTGAGGGACAGTCAGAGGAACAGTGTGTGTTAGCAGCAGATTACCTGTGAGCAAATCTGACAGCGTTTGACGATAAGCACTCGGGCATTGGATCCTGTTAACACGTCTCTGTGATGCTAAGAGGATTTCC